ATATATATAATATAGATCTTATATTATTAATATTTATTAAATTATATTAATATTTATAAATACTTTTTAAAAATTCAAACAAATTTATCTAAAAAACAGTTAAAAAGATAATATATAAGCTTTAAATTTGTATTTAATTCTGTTTCATAAAATACTACTATTAAAAAATAATTCAAAATATACAATATATAATATCAAAAGTAAGACCAAATTTAATAATTTCTTATAATTTAGATCTTTTAAACAAATAACAATTACCACATTTAACTAAAATATCTTTTATGTGTCTAATATACTGTACCAGATTATAGTTTTATTTTTTATATAATAAAAATAATTTTTTTAAAAAAAAATCAAACCCCCCAATTATTACCTTATTATATTACCTTATTAAACAAAATTTATACATCTATATCATCAAACATATATTTTTTTTTCTTGAAAATCTGTCTTTGTCGAGATTTTATCACTAAATTATATACTTTAGAATATTGTTCAATAGGTCCCTCCGGTCGGTCCCAACTTAATTCCAATGCATCTTTGATCAAATCTCTTATAAATATTTCTTTTTCATGCAAATTATCTTTTAGTCGCCGATAATCGTTTACGACATCGGTTAAAGCTTTCTTCATCCCTTCAACTGAATTATCATTATATAAACCATCAACTAATTCGAATAAATAAGAATTATATCTATCTGTTATAGTACTTTTACTCTTATCAATTAAGAACTCTTTTAGCCCTCCTACACCCGTACTAACAACTGGAGCACCAAACAATAATCCTTCTGCTGCAACTAAACCGAAACTTTCGGTAAGACTAGGTACAAATTGTACATCTGCAGTAGCACGATATAAGATACCCCAATTATCCTGAAATTCCAAATCGCTAATTAAATTAAAATTTTGTGGGTACTTTGATTGAAGTTTTTTTAAATATTTTATAGGATAATTATTTTCCTGACCCATAACAATAAACTTAGCATCGAGTCCAGCCAAAATCTCGGCAGCTGGGGTAAAGAATTCTGCCCCTTTATTATATTGAAATCGACCGATATACAAGATTATAGTCCTATTTAAATCTTCAGCTTCTAAAAATCCTTCGTTTATTAGATGATTTCTAGCTTTATATTTCGCATCGATAACAAGCTCTTGCGATGAAGTGTCGATTTGTTCCTCGATAAAACGCTCATAATCAAAAGTTTTTAAATTCTTTGGGAAATTCGAATTAGTTTCAAAGAGTAACAGATCATCAAATGGGTTAAATTGAGTAAAATCCACACCGTTAGTGATTCCAATCCAATGTCCTTTGGATGCACGGTCAAGGATACTTGGCATAATCAATTCTTTAGCATAAAAATTTAAAGATCCTTCTACCATTTCTTTTGCCATTTTTTCTGAAACGAAGGTTATCATTTGAGCACTATCAATTGCAAAAGCTGACGGATAAAATCGGCGACCATAAATATATTTGGAATAATCATCAGTATAGGTGCTTTCATTCTTAAATTTTTTAAAGTTGACAACTAAGTTCGAATATAATTGTTCTTCTATATAATCGTGTATAGTATAAACAATTGGAGGAGAAGGTTTACTATACCGATCCTCTTCATATAATTCCTTGAGAAAATCTATCACCAACGCATTCGTTGCACCATGGAGATGTACAACATCTACTCCTCTATCATCACGTTTGGCGAAAAGGGGAGTTTCCGAATATTTATCTAAGTATGTTATAAGTTCAGCGGCAGCCTTACAAAAATACAAATTCATCGATTCTTGAGATAATTCTTTTGGTGTTGAATATATTTCAAATGCACTAGATGCTTGAAAAGCCAAATTAAGACCAAGAGGACCAACTTTTGAGGTAGGTCCAATTAGGTAAACATAAATTCCTTTTGATTGTTGTGGTTTATCGCTAAAGACATCAGGGTTTTCAGTTGTATTCCAGAGTAACCTTCGAGTCGTGAATCCGACTGTTTGCCACTCACCATAACTATCTTGGATCTTAATTGTTAAATAAGCATAACGTTCAGTCTTGTACAAATCATTTAAATAACTATAGAAAGGCATTATAACATTGATATTCAACCGGTTATTCATCGCTTGTCCTTGTGCCAAGGCTGTCACAACATGACCCAATCCACCCATCGTAGCAAAACCAAATTCTTTACTAACATGAAAAATTGATGTGCCTTTTGGAATTTGTGGATTTACATTTTGACGTAGACCCAAATAAGGTTGTGGTTCAAAGGTTCTTTTTTCTTATTCATTTAAAACCAATGTATAATAATGAATTAGATTTTTTTTTTAAAAAAGCAAATAAAATAGAAAGAAAAAGAACAATTTCAAATAACTCACCAAAAACTAGTTCATCGCTTAAAAAATTTATTATTATTATTACTGATGTAAATACAAATAAAATTCCTAATAACCCAAAATATAACAAGTATCTTCCACTTCTAAGAAAAAATGGAATTCTATGCAAACTTTTTCTAAGCTTGTTACGACTAGTTGAAAGTTTATTTGCTGAATGCATAGTTTCGTCTAAATAATCATTGTCTGAGAGTTGATTTGTCGATTTAGAGGGATTAACTGTTGCAACAGTCATCAGGGGTGTATGCTCGGAAGATTTTGGTAACGCTAGAGATTGTGACCCAGACCCTTTTTTTGGGTCAGTCATATTAATTCAGCCAAACGCTGTATAAAAGATTGAGAGTCTAAAATAATCTACTCACGTTATTTTTAAAGGTATCTTTGATATTTAGTCGAATAGTGCTGTAGTGAATAAATGCAACTAGATATAAAATATAGAATTTTAATGTAGTGCAACACACGTGTTAAATTTTCGTTCACAAAGCTCTTCATATAATGAAAATTTTCATGAAGATTCCTTTGATCAAATTCGACTCTAGTCACAGAAGACTTAATTAATAAATCACGTTTCGACTAGATGAAACTGAGAAAATTTTGTTAAAGTTAGAAACGGCTAAACGGCTAATTAACGACATTGCAATAGATATAAGTCACTCTCGTTATAGTAAAGATAAAGAATTTTAAATTACAGTATTATATATTAAACTTTAGTTCGACATAATAAAGTATATATACATAGTAATCTCTTGTTATATAG